GTGTTCACATGAGACATGCGGTAGATGAGTTGGTGTTTTGTGGCTGCTGCAGATGCACTGTGGTTGGCATCTGCCAGACTTTAATCTTCCTGGTGGGTTCAAAAAGCCTTTTTATAATTTAGCAAGACACTTAAGACATTAAATGCCGTAGATTAGAAAAGACTAGTGTGTGTATGTGTAGAGGGTTTGTCTTGGTTTTTTATTACACTCACCTGCAGCTCTTTTCTGTTAAACAGTGTCTGGTACCACTGTGATATTTTTTTCTTACTTCAGAATATACTGACTTATAAAAATGAGTTTCGATAATTGTGAAAGGAAGTGAGTTAAAGTGTGTGTAAATAGACTTTTGTATGCTTTGCAAAAAAAAAAAAAGAGCAAATGGGGGTCCCTTTTGATAAGTGCTTTCTCCACTAGTTTGTGAGTTCATCTTAGACCCTCCTGTCATTGGTGAGCTTTAGTTTTCAACCATTTTCAGGATTCTCTCAAGAGTTACCAAATAAATCGTAAATTGAGTTGGTGCAGCTGAACATGCTGAACAACAGAAAACAAGGAAGCGCTTCTTATTTACTGTGAACAGCTATCATTTCCTGCAGATCAAAGTATACAAATGATTCATTTCCTGGTACTAACCAGCGGGATTGCAGTTAGGTTGTTTGTGATAGGTTAGCTGTGGCTAGGTGAACGCTAGGCCGTGTTGTTGAATGATATCTCATGAAAACATCACTGAGTTTTGCTGCAGCATCTGTGCTTTTCATATTTACTACAGGGTGTCTGTAAAGTCTTTTCTTTTCATCTTTTATTTTTTACCATGTATTCTTTGAGAGCACAATTCATTAGATTGAGCAGAAGAACCAGGAATATATTTAATGTTTCACTTTTGTTCACCTTTTTACCTTCGTCATTGTAAATACTCATGTCTTTGTGAAAAAGATTTCAGTTTTACCAGAGCTACTTTTTGTCCTTTCCAGCTCCACCCAGCTTTTATTTTTGAGACCGTTGACGAATGAATGTAACGTTTGCTCGTTTTACTGCTATCATTAACAGATGGGCCACCTTTGAGCCTTAACTCACTGCGGTATTGCTAAATGTAAGCATCGTCTAGTTTTTCCCACATTATATCAAAGCCTTAATATGTGGTTGAGTTACTCGGTGATTAGATGCAAATTTTGGTCCATTTTAAGCAGGTACAAGTTGTGCATTGCATCATTTGTAAAGCAAGAACATGCTACATTATGTAATTGTTATTTTGGTTATTAAAATGATGATCGTAACTGAAGATCTCGAATTGATGTAAAAACTCTTGACCCTGCACTGGCTTTTCACGTATTTCTTTCCTTTATGAAGCTAAAGCACTTTTTAAGTCACTCTGGATAAAAGCATCTGCTAAATGCCTTAAATATAAATGCTTTGCCATGATTGAATCGCATTGCAAATGTACCACCTTTTCAGTGTGTCAGTTGTCAACAGATGATATTGTTACATCAACTTCAATTTCGCTGTTTCACCATGTTAAAAAAAGTAAAAGTTGCAACCTAATTCACATAACATTTTCAAGAAGTCGTGTATTCGTTGAGTATTTGAGAAATTTTGTGAAGTAGTTGAGATATTTTGTGGGAGTGCTGCGAGGAAAGCTTTCTGGCAGCTTTTGGTCTTGTGATATATTTTTGTTTCTTCTTGTTCCCACGATCTGTTGTACTGAGCTTTATCTTTGCAGTGCATTCCCGTTCAAAAAGACCTTGCTTTGATACTGTGAGAAAGTTAGCACACGAGCAACATGAGTGTCTGTCCCATTGGCAGAATCTCAAGGGCCTGCTTTGATGAAGATGGATGATTTCAAATGTGCGTTTTAAAGTTTATGTTTATTTGTATGATCACAAAATGGATAGTAAAGAGCTGGAAACTGCATGAGAATAGCTTGATCTTTTGATCTCTGCATGAGAAATGCAACAATACAGTATCCTGTTACTTTTCCATTTAAGGGTTGATATTTGGCCCCTGAATTAGTATTCACTTTCATTAAGGCACTTTTTTTAAACCATATAAAATAAATACTTCTAATTTATTTGTCACATGTACTTAAGTTTAATCAATTAGTTGTGTAAGGTAATTGCTTTTTATATCTCAATTTTGTGTTTATATTCCATAATTCTGACTTTTTTTCTCAGAATTGTGATATGTAAACAGAATTGAAAAGTATAAACTCGTAATTTTGAGGGAACAAGTCATATGAACTCAGATTTCAGACTTGCAATTCTGAGTTTACATTTCTGACTTTTTTCTCACAATTGTCTTTT